ACCCCCACCTCATTTAATTATTTGAAAATCTTTGTGGTTTAATTATTCAGACACACGCTCACCTCAATCCCCTCGGGCTGCCTCCGCTCGTCGCGTCTGAAAAACGCCCAAAAACAACGCCTCTTTTGCTGACTGAGAAAATCCTTTTTTGGAATCTTGAAAACATTAAATGAATAAACATATGGTTTAGATTGTGTCTGAATCCTACTGTCTGCCGTGCTCTTTACATTTTCAGTTAAATTTTAACCTTCTTTCGGCGTGTTTCGCTTTAGTAACTGACCACCTGGACTTAATGTCATTTGCACGTGCAGTAAGCACGTGCGATCTACCTTAAACGTGCGAAGGTCTCGTGTGATATTAAACGTTTCTTCAGATCCTGCATCCGGTATCAGCACCGAAGAAAGACAAATCAAATAAAAAAATTCCTCCGCTAGGAAATTCAAACATAGCTCTCGTCGCATGATCCGTCGTCAAATCGAATCAAGCTTTCTTTGAGATCTGCAGGTAAGCATGGGAATAAGTGAAAAAGTTTAACCGATTAAACGGTCATTTTGTACAATTTTTCTATATAACATTGAAATTTCGCGATCACATGCTCGGCAAGCGGCAAAAACGATTTTGGTAGACTAGCTAGAAGAGACTGTGGCGAACTTGAGACTCTTTATATGCATTTTCGCCAGCGTTTAAGCATCAGAATGGAGAGAATTGTTTCACTATCCTCTTAATTAATTGATTATCCACCCAGAAGCTTGGAGCGACAAAAGGTTACTTTGGCGAAAATGTGCAGGCGGTAATTAACCGTGCTCGAATTTTCAAGTCTAGTGCTGATGTTGTTAAGAGCGTTTAATAAAAAGTAAATGGAAGTGGTAATATTGCAATCTATTCCTCTCGTGGCTCCACCGCCAAAAAATTATACAAAACTTGCCGCAGAATATGGCATATACACGCACGAGTTTTTCTTTTCTTGCCATACATTTCACATGTCTGAATCGCCTTTGTACGCACGAGATCTTGTCGAGTGATGCCATCCTCTGCAGACTGGCTTACAAGACTAAACGAACTTTATCATTCGAAGAGCGCAGTTTATTAGATGAAAAGGTAGCCACTGTATAAATACAACATCTACGAATTATTTTGATGCTAATATGTTACATGCATGATGTTTTGTCTGGGAGAAACGGCAGCACTGGGTCAGGAGCGAGCTGAAAATAAATTGGAGGATGTAATTGATCAACTTCTACTTGAAACTGGCTATGTAAGTGGCGATCGCCAGTTTAAGGAGGCGATACTTCAAAGTTGCCGTCGCCAGTATAAAAGTGGCGATCACCAGTTCCAAGTGGCGACGCCAGTTTTAAGTGGCGATCGCTAGTTAAAATTAGAGACGCCAGTTAAAAGTGACGGTTGCCATTTCAAAGAAGCGAATCACCAGTTCTCAAATATAGTGTTGATACTTGCTACGTATCCTTGTTTACAGCTGTCCCATGCATACCTTGATTATAATAAGTCTGGGCAAATGGCGAATGCCGGAAGTCTCAACGACAATTCGTTTTTTGTAACATTCATAATTTTAGTGAAAAAGATTTTTACTGCAACGGTTATTTTTCAGCGGTAAATGTCGTGCACAGTTACAGCGCCTTGTCCAGGAAGAAGTATAGACTGAGTAAGCGGTTCATCGTAAAGACCTGGCACCAGCGACTTTCATGCTTCCGTGTCTGTTGACCTTCGTGTACCTGTTATGGTCTCTGTGAATCTGCAAGCAAACTGCAATCGAGTGACCGTCACATTTCATTGGTTTGGTTTTTCTCAAGCTGTTTTACTCTAGTGTTGATTTTCGATATTGTCTAGGCAATTCTTGCCAGGTTCTAGGGGAAGGGGGAACTATAATAATCTCATGTTACCCAAGATTTAGATCCTGTTCAGCGTCTTACAGCTAACATACATGTGAAGCACTATCTAGCCAGACACCCCAGACACCACTTTTTTTCGAAAGTTTTGTATTTCGACCTCTAGCTCTCGTATCTTTCGTATGAGAGTGCCTCACTCCCTCCCTCCCTTCCAGGATAATACGTTTATTTTATTTCCCATATTCTATATTCCGCAATACAGGGAGAGGCTTGTTACTTGGGATATTTTCTTCTATAAATTGCATAACACCGATCATACTTGCTTATTTTTGCATTTAACTAAAAAAATTGTTTTGTTTTAAAGCATGTCGTTACCGGTGGTCGCGTTTATTTTGACGGTAAATGATGCTCTATGCAATTGGTACTTGTCCGAGATTGTTTTTTGGCTGATATGACGAAAACTTTTACAAGGATAAAATTTAAGCTTGCGAAATTAACGGAACACGCTCACATGCTGATTCAATTTCTGTGAAGTTTTTAAAAAATCTGTAAATATTTTCATTTTCCAAATCGATCAGGCATCTAACAATGAGTCGCGGGAGAAAAATATTAGAAGCAGAGCGGAACTCGTGCCAGGGATCCTCGGCTGTAGAATAAACGTGCACGTGATATCTTCCACAAACACAGATGTGATGAGAGTGCGATTGAAACAACTCACTTAAAAATAAAAAAAAGAAACGACGGGGAAAAAATCTTCTTTTTCCTTCACTGTCCGATGAAACTATCCAGAAAATGACCATTCAGAGTGAAAGACTTTTCCTCTTGATCGATTTCTTTGACTTGCCGCACGTGCTGATGTCCCACGTGCGGATGTCTCGTGTGTTTCGCGCTACACGTGCCACTACCTCGTGTGTTGCTTCAGACAAACGAAGCAAAGCTCTTTGTATGCATACAAGCACTGAAAAGTCATCGCAAGAACTTCAGCTTGTTCACAATTAGAGTTTAAGCTGAGTTTGTGATATAACAAGATGTAAACCCAAAAGGTAAGCGAAAGAGGAGTTAAGATAGCGATAGATGTTTGCTGGGAAATTTGTAGTTGCCTTTCGGGCTTTTCTGAAATGGTAAAGGGTAGCAAAATAAGAGTTAAGATGGCGATAGATGTTTGCCGGGAAATTCGTAATTGCCTTTTAGGCTTTTCTGAAATGCGCATTTCTTAAAATTTTTTGGATTGAATACGCTCGCATAGGTTTCGGAGACGGGAAAAATGTGAATCACTGTTTCAGACGATCTGGCTAAGTGGAAATAATCAGGAGGCGAGAAATATGTACTGAAACACAGCGGACTGTAGGGAGGGCAGTATATGGCCATTTTTCACACAGAAGTCGCGTTGCTGCAAAACCGAATCGTAGCGCGTTCAAGGGCCTACTTTGTCACTGATTGCTACGTCGCCACTCAAAAGTCGCGTGTAGCTAAAAATTTAGAGGTCACAGCACGTGAGGCAAATCCAGCGTGTGAAGTCAATTTTTCTTTCGTCTACAGCAAAGTTTAAATCATTATTTGCGCTCATTATCGATTTCGACGAGCACATAACTTTAAAATTATTTAAATGTACCAGAAGAAAGACAAAATCAGAAACATTATAGAAATGTGAGGGGAATACAAGTCAGACATCACAGTCACGTTTGTCATGTAAAGTGATCACGTTTGGACATATGTGACTTCTATGCACGCAATTACGTAACGTCCTACAAAAGCTTTAAAATCACCACAAAGTATACTCGACAGCGTACCACTGTTAAAAAGTATTATCACTGATGCCATATACAATACTGCAACCTCTATGCACTCGTTTATCGGCCAAATGATCGCTTCAGGCGGTTGAATTTCGACAAGGAAGCTTTTTGAGAGGTTTGTGATAATTTTGTTTCGTACGAACTCAGTGAACCATATGGAACTTTTCGTGAACATACTATTAAAAGTTGTCGTGCAAATTTTGCAAGATTAAACGTACAAGTAACAGATCTAGTCTCCCATCTAAGTCATTATAAAAACTATTTGTTGATTTTCAATATCATATTCTTAAAGTCCTGACGATACAGAATTTATTCGATCGAGCGTTGCTGCGTCCAGGCTTGACATTGAATTCAGTTCTCGGTTTAAAAGAGAAATTGCTTCGAAGACTTCCGTCATCGTCTTTCCATCATTCGATTTAACTCATTTCATTGAACTTCCGTTAAAAATATTGCTTTGGAGAGAACGCAAGATACTACAAACAAGACTCTCAAATGTTCTAGAAAGCATGAGTATAAAACTGTAATATCTGATCTATCGGACGTAGCTATTAAACTATATTGTTATGACTTGGTTTAAACGCGTCTGAGCTCTTCAATGATATCATTGTTGCCTGGTTTACTTATTTGTTTATTTTTTTTCTAATCTTTTCAAGTTACAATTTGATGTTGGCTGATTTCATTATAAGCGGAGAGTTAGATGGCGGACGACTTTGAAGACAACAGAGGTCAATTTCAGGTTGGTCAAAGAAAACGCAGTATTATGTTAATCGAGGTTCTACAGACAAGCTGTTGGCACGATTGTAAGAGCCGATGTATATCCCATGCTCATGTTCCATTAATTTGAATGATACACGTTTTTCGTAAGACAAAAAAATCCAATAACTATAGAATTAATCTGATTCAGGGTTTGAAGAATCTGATGAAATTTTTCCTTAGAAATTTTTCCCTAGAAAATTTTCCTTTGTCACTTAGGGTGATGTAATAATCCCAAGACCGACAGCAACTGGTATCCCAAGGTCTTGTAATGTTACTAGCAGTGCCAGCTGTTCAGCTGGAGAGTCAAAGCACCCTCAAAGAAGTGGGCACTATAGCACCTCTCCATCAACATCCGGTGATTTGATGTCAAAGGGCAGTCCTGGGAACCACAACCACAACCACAATCACCACTACCATAGACACCATCACAGCAAAGGAAAGGTCAAGAAACATTATAATGGAAGTTCAGACCGCTTTAGTCGTACTGCTGCTGTACTGCGACAGGCAGGGCTTATGAAACTTACCCTGCAAATTGCTCAGTTGATTAAAACTAATGAAGATCTTCAAAAAGAAATTGATGAACTGCAAAGTGAAGCTCTTCAATTCAGTGAAAATTTAAAAATGCAACTTCAGCAGAAACTACAAGATCAAAATGGGACCAGTGATCTACATGATGAAAACAAATGAGGGACTGTTTATTATGATAAAAGGGATGGGGGGGG